TGTTTTGTTTTACAAAAGTCAAATGGAAAAATATCTGGCCTGCTCTGGTTTCTGTAAATTTTTCCCAGGGGTGGGGGGAAGGAGCACTTTTAAAGAAGGTACCAAATGGAAAACTACCAGAATCGAAGTTAGAGAGACCTGGAGGCTGAGTCATTACTGGGCAAATACAGGACCCACTCTTACATAGAGGAAAAATTAGAGGGTGACAGAGCAGGAGTAGGTTGGGGTAGAGTATCGTGGAGAGAGGTTGTTGGAAAGAAACTAAAACTGTCTTCAAGGTTCTTGGAGCAGCTTTCTTCTGGCTAACTTTGAAAAATAATGTGCTTTTTAACCTATCAAATAGAGTTGTTGATTTATTATTTAGTACATCCAAACTTGAATACTCGAAGCTAATATATTAGTGTTAACTCTTCTGTGGGTTTCTGTCTACCTACTGTTCTTTGCCTAGAGAGTAAGACTAAGTCACTCTATTGGGTTTTACTACTTACATTTTCTTTCAAAAACTGATTGGAATCAGTCTGACTGATTCTGCAATAGAAAATCTTCTGTGTTCTGGGTCCAGTTTATCAAGACTTCCTAAGCTCAAAAGTTGCCAGCTTTTGTAGCAAATCTTGCTGAACCACAGCCAGCACAGGAATAGCACTTGGGATGGGGTTCAAAGATCTATGTAGGAGCCTGCATACAGACTGGGCAAACCCAAATCTTAAGTATTATGCAAAAGACTGGAAGCTATTTCTCTGATATCCACCCTCGTCTACGAATAAAGTGCTTTGAACCACTCCTATAATCAAAATATTTTATACCTAATAAGAACTGAGCATCTGTCAAATTCCCAAAGAGCGTTATAACGAGATCACACAGCAGCAAACGTACTGTTCTGGGCTGTTAAATGAAACCAAAACTTTGCTAATTCTTTATAGGGCGCCTGCTTCTTTTGTGAGTGCATCTGCTTTTCCTCTCGCCCCAGTAGCTGGCCAGAGCTCTTCCGCCACGTGGGGTGTAGGCCCTCTTCTCTGTGGGAGAAGGAAAGAATTCCGTCCCGCTAGGACCTGGCGGGAGAAACTTCTTCGCCGACCTCCCCTTCCTCCAAGTGCCGACGACCAATCAGAAAGCGCCTTAGCACATCAGCCTCCAATCCCAGGCGCCCTTTCTGCCAGGCCCCTGTGGCTATTTAAAGGTAAGCGCCTGCTCCGCCGCGGCTCCGTAGTGGGTCGGGGTCTGTGACGCGCGGCAGCCATGTCCAGCCACGTTGAGCTCTACAACGGCGCCAAGATGCCCGTCGTGGGGCTGGGCACGTGGAAGGTAGGTGCTCTCCCGGGCGAGCTCCCTGCCGCTTGCATCCGTCCCGGCGAGCCTGGGGGGTGGCGGGACCCGAGAGACCCTGAGCGGCCGGC